TTATAATGTCTATCCTAATATTGCATTAAGGCTCCTGGCCCCTCGTATCATCTGTCTCTTTTTAATAATGTCAGAAGCGAGAAAATACAATACTACAAATACTACAAATTCTTGCGAAATACGTTAAAATAAAAATATATAAAGTAACACTTGTAATTGATTAAACAACATTCCAGTACCATACAAAGTCACTTTGCTTACATGAGTACGTGTGACTATACTGAATATAACATCGTTGGACGAAGAAAAAACATTTTTTGCAGAAAACATGTTGAATTGTATTGTATGTACAAATTTTTATTGTACTTATTGCAATTTACGCGCGTGATAGATATTATATTAAAAAACTGTTCGCACATTTTCTGTCATTGTTCTCAAGTTTTACATTTTTACTCGGAAAACCAATCGACTCTGAAAGTCCGGATAAGCACGACGGTCGCGTTTTTTTATTTGTATCCCTGACGAAAATTGAAATTGAAGGGTAAATAAAGTGTAAACGAAAAGTGACGGAAGTGTAAGTGAAGCGCTTACAAAGCGTCAATTGAAACATCGGAACAAAACAAGTGGGTACGCTTGCTTTACGTTCCAATGTTTTAAGTGACGCTTGACTTACACTTCCGTCACTTTTTGTTTACACTTTATTTACTTTCCAATTCAATTTTCGTCACGGATGTACTCGCCGTTGCCGCGATCGCGGTGGTTCATTGTGCGAGAAAAGGAAAATAAAATTTTACAATGTTTCATTTTTATTATTTATACAATATTTATTTTATGAATAATAATTATAGTAAACATTATTTACTCTCCCCCACCTTCCTCCCCAATTTCCTCTCCATCCTCTTTTTCTCCATCCTTCTCTTCCTTGTCCGCCTCTTCCTTTGTTTCCTTCTCCGCCTCCTCTCCATCCTCCTCTTCCAAATTTTCCTCTTCCCAATCCTGCTCTTCCCCATCTACCTCCTCTTTGATCATTATATCGTGAATAATGTCTACAAAGAAAATGTTAACATTTCAGCTATTCACGTTAGTACAAACATTATTAATAAATATAGGCTAATAAAACTTACAGTTTATTTCTTTCCTCAAGGAATCTTCCTCCTC